AATTTTTCTTTATTTTTATATATACATATATATATATATATATATTATTTTTTTTTTTTTTTCCTTTTCTTTTTTTTCGCTAACTCCAGTAAAACACAAAAATTATTCAGACGCCGTTTGCAGAAATGACGTGTTGAATCAAATATGTGCAAAACCGGAATGCCGGAAAATTTTTTTAATCAGAAAATAATCCTACACGTGTTTTGAGTAAAAAATTTCCTGGTCAAATACAAAGAAAAACAAAATAAAAATTTCTCGGGGAGAATTTTTCGTAGCTTAAAACACATATGCATATTTTCTCAAACACACTCTGATCGGTTTTTGTTCACTTTGAGAGACCTGGCGTTTGATTTTTAGAAATTCTGAGATACCGTTGGAGTGCGTTTTGGTTTCATTTTTATGCAACATGTGTTTTTTGAGAGCAGATAATTTGCATTTATTGAAAACAGGTATGCAATGAAGAGATGATGGGGGGAAAATGATATAACTTGAATTAATTAGAGAATTAAAAAGAACAATAACAGAAAAAATTTGAAAATGTCTAGAATAAATAAATAAATAAATTGATATTTATTACATTTTCAAATTTTCGGTTTATTTGCTAATACAAGGAACTGACGTGCAGGCTTAGCTCGGAATTAAATATTTTAGCATCAATTAGAAAAGCTCTGGGTAGACTTGAGGGCGTACGTAGAAACTTGCCGGTTTGGAGGTGAAATTCTGTGACCAGCTCACCTCCTAAATATACTCCAACGGTCTGAATAAGTGGAAATGGGAAGGGGGCAGGTTTAGGGAATATGAGGGGTGCACTTAAACATCCTAACTTAAGCCGAGAAGTTATTTCTTTGGTTGCTTTTGTTATGCAAATTTCATGTTATCATCATATTATCAACAAGGTAGCGATAAGACTGAATCCCCTGTTAAAACTGCTAAAGAAACCATTATCAAGACTGACAAGGAAAAGAAAGATATGTGGTGTCATTATTATATTGACATAATACGCCGTAGGTAAGATTAAAAGAATCCCTGTCTACAGACCAATGTCCAAAAGAACAAGATATGGTCTACCAGCTATCGCTGAAAATTTTACGACTACGAAAGTTTCCGACGTTCCAAATAGTTCCAGAGAATTATATAATACTATGATCAATCCACAAAAGTGCTTCCAGATTAGAGAGAGAATTAGAGAAGGAGAATGCAAATAAGAGCTGATACGGAAAATATATTGTCTAATGGATTTGTGAAAGACAAGGTTTTAGAACGTTGCAATGTTGTTGATGTTGTTAGCAGCATCACATATAAAAAATATCGCGTGATTATATTATTATTATTACTATTATAATTTTAGACTAATATATAAATAAATCCGTAGACTAAAAAAAGGACATTGAGCACTAGCAACACAGGCTATCGGCTACGAATATAAAACCTTCTGCTTCTGTTGAACGCTCAGACGACAATCCAAATTCTAACATGAATACTTCAAAGGAAATGTCTGTATCGTCGACAACTGTCATCAGAATATTTTTCGCTTCGTATTATCGAAAACGATTCCCAACCTATAATAATAGAGATAAACGTACACCCACAAAGTAGTCAAACAAAGAAGCCAAGGAGCAAAGCTAGAGTACCAAGACGCTTGGGCGATTATGTTTACTCCTAGCATTAGATATAACTACCGTCTGCTAGTGCACCAAAACTCTGAAACTGACATTTTACTGTTGACCTTTTCACAAAAAGCTTTCCAGTTCTGACGTCTCCCTTGCCTAAGAGCACAAGCATATCCTTTTTTCATATTTTTCTAAATGGATATTGTTTACTCTTATTGACAGCAACTCCTCCGGATTTTCGCTTGTCGAAATTAACTTCACTAAGTTAATAGGGATGGGTTATAAGAGCATTCAAAAACATTCTGGAAAACTGATGAAGGAACAAATATTTCTTTTTTTTCAGTTTAAAAAAATTAACAGTCATCTATGGTGTCACCAAATCTGTGCTGGGTTTTTTGTTACTTTTGTTGCCTGCATAATTGTTTACTTTCTACTTCCATTTATTTAAATATACGTAATTATTCACAAGTCGTTAATACTACACAAGCACAAAGGTGAACATGAAACGAACAGGCAACTGTCCACATGAAAGCATTCAGGTGGTATGAAATCGCAAGACCATGTTATTGAAATTCATTTTCGTCACTTAGGCGTATACCAAATTATAGGGCACGGAATCTCTACAAAATTATTCTAATAGCGATCTGGTTGATGTATAATTACCAAATGTATATGTATATATATATTTATACATATATGAATTTAATTTATCGTTTGCTTCCCTTATTATATTACGTACCTCGTTATGAAAAAATGTATAGTATGAGCGTTTAATTTTAAACATCTTCATCAAAAAAGTCAAATTTATACACGATTATTGAGTTTACGTGATTGTTACTTAACAAATAATCTAAGAATAAAAGAAGAAGCTATTAATAATTATTATAATGTTTCACTAAGTTAGCATCAACCTACATAATGAAGTTTCATTACTTATATTTTCGAAGAGAATATTCAAAGTTTGTAATAATTGAAAACATACAAAACTGGAATCTCCACTTTTTTGACGCATTATATGCGGAAAGTATGATAATATATTTTTCTCTAGGAAAAAGGAAAATAATTAATAAATAATTATAAAGAGTGAGTTATTAAGCCTGGTTACTCGAAAACCGAACTGTCATGTTCATCACCCCATATTAAAATTTCCGCTATACTTCTTAAAAACCAGCTGAGAAAAAGAGTTGAAGACGATGAAGGCAGTGGAGAGGTGGGATTCTGCTAATATTTAATTAAGTCAATGGGTTCTTTCTCAAGATCATTCAAAGCAATTTTTAAGTCAACAGACCGATGATACATAGTTGGCTCTTAATGATGAATCCAAACAAACCGTTTAAAAGTCTCAAAATACTTGGCAACATTTAAACATCGGGCATTCGACTTTCAATGTTCCAATGATGTTTCGTAAAAATCCCTTGTTGTCATTAAACCCAAAAATGAATTTTAGGTCACCCAATGATCTCTGTAAGACATACCCCATAAAAATTTATTATTATTACAAACCGAGACTACAACACCCGAATTAGGGGAGTTCCTTAAAAATGCTGTTGAAACAAGTACACCACGCAATACGTATTCCCAACGTATAACCAAAAATATAACCAAAAGCATCCGTACAGTTGGAGCTTACACCAACAAACACTTTTTCAATCGCTTTGATTTGTGATTGGGAAAGTCAAACTGGCCTCTCCTTTTGCTGTATGTTAATTTATATAATTTATATTTAAATATAAATAGCTTTATTATATATTTGAAATAGCTTTATTAATATATATAAAAATATGTATAAAAGAAATTGTTATTCTTTTTAATGGTTTCCTGATTGTTTCCGATTCTTTTTCGTTGACTTGGTCGCTTTTGCTCTTCTATCATCTCCTCTACATTTACCATTGAAATTGTTAAGTTGGGCTTTTAACCACTTAACAGAGCTGCCATTTTTAGACTACTTTTTTACAATAAACTCTGTACTTTGCCTTTTAACAGGGAATTTAGCGAGGACTTTGTTTAAAAATTATGGCGGTCTAATTTTAGGCTAACTTGTAAAATTGAAGAAATTAAGAAATTTTATGTGAAAATATAGATTTATTAATAAAAAATAAAAATTCCTTTTTATAATTTTAATCCGAAAACGTTCTTCAAATTACAGCTGATTATGGTATTGCGCAACCAAATGGTTGTTTACATATTGAAAATAAGTCGGCACGCAACCAAATGGTTTTCAAATCAATTTAATAAGAAAGCCTTTAAATTTATTAATTCTAACATAATCCCCAACTTTGGTCTTGGAAATGTTTTAGGGAAATTATATACAGTTTGTAATATCTGCTTCCCGTTGTGTTTATTGACTTCATTTAGTTTCATTTTTATTATTCTGTGATATGCATTATTGTATTTGGCTAGTAACGTTTGCAGGTTGTTTAACCATTTGTAATTACCGTATACAGCAAGGGCTGTAATTGTAAAAGTTTAAAATTATACGTGTTCTTTTATTTTCTACTACTCGTTATCAGGTACATGATAAAGATATTTAAAAAGTAAGAACATCATAAAAGTCTGCAAATCTCTAACATTCACAAACAGACCTCCCAGTCAGTTTATAAAGACTGTGAATTATTTTACTGTATACATGTATAACTGTTTGAGCCATCTCCAAGAAATATTTGTACCGTGTTTTAGATCGACAGCTGTGTTTGTACGTGGATCACCAGATCGTAAATCTTTGACTAAATCTTAGATAAATATATAGCTGCTTTTCAGCACGATTTTTCGTTTCGTCGTTTTTCAAACCAGATCAGCCGCCATCAACTAACGTAATAACATATATAATTTCTTTCCAAACATAAGTCGACCTCTAATATGGAATATATCCGAAATTTTTCAAAAGTACTTTTGTGTATATTATTTCGTTTCTCATATTCTTCGTCCAACTGAAATATTTAAAAAATAAACAAGCGAAACGGAAGCACGATTAAACATTTCCAAAATCTTAAGTTAATGTGTAATTTAATATTTAATTTATTTTCGGGGTGGGATAATAACTTTGCCAACTTTTTACTAGAAAAAAGCCGGGTTTTATTGTTTTTACAGCGTATGGCTTATGGACTTTAACAAATTGCTTATTTTTCAAATTTGATCAGATGCCACCAACAATCAACCTCCAATAATACGAAGTCTTTTGAAAGTATTTCCGAAAGTATTTACTTCTCATGTTCTTCGTTCAAACGAGAATATTTCAACATAACACCCGAGAATCGAGTTCCGTTAAATGGTCGCAAAATTTCAAACTAGTGTGTATTTTTAGATTGTAAAAGCAACTATTTGTTTATGCCTTGGCAATCCTGATATTTTCTGTTTATGTTTATTTTCATATTTTTTTATGTTTACTTACATTTTTTTACGGGAATTTATAATGTTAAATATTTATTAAACATTAGTACTAAGCACTAGTTAAATACTTTTATAAGAAGATTCCAAATAAAATCTTTCCTTTTCGACCTGAATATCGGGCGCTAAGACAAAGTCAAAAATGAGCGATGATGACAGAGATATCGACATTGAAAGTGACGACGATAATGATTCTGATACGGGCACTAGTATGCCTCAAAGGCATAGTACACAAAATTTCACACAAGAAGAAAAGCGGGCTCACCATAATGCATTGGAACGCAAAAGACGTGACCACATCAAAGAAAGCTTCACTAATTTGCGAGAAGCAGTGCCATCACTAAAAGGAGAAAAGGCGAGTCGAGCTCAGATTTTAAAGAAAACTACCGATTGCATACAAAATATGAGACGAAAAATTCAGGCTAATCAAAAAGACGTGAATGATCTTAAACATCAAATTGCTATTTTGGAAGAGGAGGTACACCTTTTGGAATCTGCTAAGAATGGAAACGAGATTGATGTTAGCAGTTACCATCAACTAATTAATTGTGATCAATCGGATGGTGATGAACAAGACTTTAGTCGTCGCAGCAAAAAGATGAAAACTTCCTACCAGATGTAGTCAATGACAAAGCGAGGCATTTCAGCATTGAAACCTATTCAATTAAGGCAATGTAGATTTTTATAATGCGTAAAAATCTTAGTGGGATTGATATGACCAGAATTGTTTCTTAATATTGTTAAGTAATTGTAAAAGTAGCAAAGAGAGCGCTTTTTGTGCTCACTGAAATTTCTTTTTGAAGCATTATTTTGTATAAATAACTTAATAAAACAATAACTATTAAAAAGGTTGTAATTTAGCGCACTTATCGCTGGATTCTTACATACAATACTAGGAGGAAACTGTTAAGTGAGTCATTGTTTTAATTGTTTAACTATTAATATTTAATTTCATAGGGATGAGAATACGTTCTTCTAGTTCACATTTTACTTACTAAGAAATTTTGTACTTACTTCTTTAATGTATCCTGCGCTAAGCAGGCTTCTTGATTGGGGTAAACGAGATTCTTCGCAAAAGATTTGCTTGAAGAACTCAATGAGAAAATGTCATTCCAAATTCGAAATAGAAGTTGGATTTGATTGTTGTGAATTTGCATAAGCGTTTTAAGCGTTTAAGAAAAGGAACATAGAAGATACACTTTTATTGATAACCGCGAATTCTTGGAGGTATAATGAAATAAGACTGTCTTGGAAGCTTTCAATGAATTATTTTGAAACAGTGTGAATAAAACTAAATTGAATGCTTAAAAATTTTATGCATTTAATATTAAATAGGTATTGGAATGAGAATGAGTACAATTCATTGTTTTTGATTTTACTTTAATTCTCATGACCATTCTTCTTACAGTGTGCGCTTAAATTTGTCTTACGAGCAAAACTCTTACTACAACTTTTGCATGAAAAAGGCTTTTGACCAGTGTGAACGGGCATATGACTTTTCAGCCCAGACAAGTACTTAAATGTTCTTTCACATACATTGCACGTGTAAGGGCGTAACCCCGAGTGCACGCGCATATGCACATGCAAGTTATCCTTTTTTTTAAAAGATTTTCCGCATTCCGAACAAATATGCGGTCTCTCGTTATGATATTCTACGAGATGATATTTTAAACTTTCTGAACGTCTGAAGGCTTTCTCACACAATTCGCATTTAAAGGGCTTGTCAACGGAATGGAGGCGCATATGCGCCCGCAATTTATCTTTATGTTTAAATGATTTGTCACACTCGGAACATGCGTGCGGCTTTTCATCACTGTGTGTGATCAGATGATATTTTAAACTCTCAGAGCTCCGGAAGGCCTTTTCACACGAATCACATTTAAACGGGCGATCACCGGTGTGAATGCGCACATGTATCATTAATTTCTGTTTATTTATACAAGATTTACCACAAAAGGAGCATAAATGAGGTGATTTGTATCTCTCATTACTTAAATGTGCTTTTTTCATATGTCTTTCCAAGTCATTTTTGCGACTGTAACGTTTCGGACATAAGGTGCAACAAAAAATTCGTGTGGAGTGTGTAGTTACACTTTTTGCACCATGTAGCGTCCTTAAGTGATCATTCAGGTTTGCCATATTACCAGTTCTAAAAGTGCACAATGTAGAGCACATCTTCTCATCTTCCTGCATGTGACTGCAACTTTTATGTCTTCTTAAAGCTGCTGCTTTCCTATAGATTTTACCACAAATATTACAAGAATTGTTAAGCAAATGGCCATCTTGCGCTAATGAGAAGGCATTACTAGTACCAGTACACGTGCTGCTGTTCATGGCACTTTGATCGCTGAAACTAAACCTTCAATAATACTTAATATAAAATGCATTCTTAAAATTACCTTTCATTATATCCATCTGCTTTACAATCGTTATCACTTAAATCAGATTTTACTGAAGAATTATTATTTTCAGCTCCATCGTTTAAAAGCAAGGTTTCTGATTCCAACACTTCTAGTTCCGTCTTAATTTTCATTTCAACTGGTTTTAACAACATACATTCAGTTTCATTCGCTTTCAATGACTGCGTTAGTCCTAAGTTAGTGGACTCGATCTTGGCAGCTTCTGTCTTAACTTGCATTTCCTGTATCTTAGGCATTTCCGATAGACAGCTTTCATTATCGTTCTTCTGCATATACTGTAGAAGCTCTTCATGTCTTTTCTTAGCTTCTAAGAGGAATGTGTAGATATTCTTCAGAAAACTGGCACACTTTTCGCAAATTTTTTGCGGCAATTGGTTTTCAAAAGGAATAATACGCTAAATAAATAAAATGATATTATTCATTAATTACTTATTAAATATTTTTTATGGCTTAAAAAACCTTCACTTGTAACAAATCTTTTAACAGCTCGTCGTAAGTTTTCGATTTGTTATTTATCTTTTCCTGCAAAGACAGATAGCTACGATAGCTTGATTCCGCTCTTGTGCATGTGCGACATCTTCTTAATGTTATTTTCGTGAAGCAGGTATTAAAGGATTCGTTCATTGCCATAAACTAAATAATTTTCTTTTTTTTGCTTTTGGTAAAGAAGGTGAGAAAATTAATTAATTGTTTAACGTGCTAAGTAAATCATCGTTCTTCTCTTTTACTTTTTCGTGAGCGAATTTCATAAAAATTGACAAACCTGGCATTACCGCGAGAAGTTAAAAATGTTGTATCAGTAGTTGGTTTTTTGTTAGTTATCGTAATGACCATCGAGTTCATATATATGATCAACGGTAATAATAAAAATGCCGCTATTTGGATAATGCACAAGGAGTGTTAAAAAAGTTGACTTTCGCATTTTATGGGCAATTCACTCGATTTTCGAATGTCCTTAACATGTGACGGCCGAATCAGCCATTTTGCATTTTTAGTTTGTTTTTGATAGATATGAACATTCGACATGTTTTCGGATGCATACTATTGAAAAAATAGATCAAAGAATCTGTATTAAATTTTGTATGAAAAATAATATTAAGCGTTTGAACTCACATAAAATGTTAGGTGTGATTTGGCGGGTGCTGAGCAAAAAAATGTTCATAAGTGATACAAGGTCTTCGCAATAGCCCGAGGAGATTCACGACGCTGCCCATCCTAGACGCCAGCATGTCAACAACCTACGAACACGAGGAAGCACTATTAGGGCAGTTGATGAGAATGAAGTACTTAGCTCATGCCATACATTTTTTTTGGATGTTTTGGATGTGAAACTTGTGGCAGCGAAGTTTGTCTTGAAAAAGAAATAGTCGCATGAGCACAGTTCCGAAGCTGTTGAATGACATCGTAACCAATGGGGGTCATAACTGGAGAGAAAGCATGTGCGAAATGAAAAAAGGATCAAGACTGAAAAAAGCACCCAAAGTTCGTTCAACTGTAAAGGTTTTGCTCACTGTTTTCTTCGATTAAAATAGCGTGGTGCACCATAGATGGTCGTACGGCCAATCCGGGATATTACCTTGAAATTATGGGCCGTTTAGTTGAAGCGATACGAAAAAAACGCCCGAGATTGTGAAATTGCCAGTCATGGATATTGTTCGTGAATGTTGCGTCTTAGTCAAAACAAGCCCCAAAACTGGAAAGATCCATGAAAGGGCGGACTAAGGAGATTGAGGTCAAATCGCAGGAAAAGCTCAAGACCATACTACAACCGCTTATCAAAAGAACGACGAGTTAATGAAGATGGCTAAATATAATTTAAACAAATTTTTAAAAAAAATTTTAATGCTATAAAATATATAAGAATGATTACCAGAAAACCGCTCTTTGGTGCAGATTTCGCAAATAGGAACTGATTAATTTGATTGTAAATAGACTAAACTCATAATAGTACCTAAGTTTATGCAGCCGTAAATTATGGCCGACCGTAAAATAGTCCTTCGAAAAATCATTCATTATAAGGACCATTCACTCCCCCTTATCATACTTCAGTCGAATACCCTCTAAAACTTTGAGCATGACCGTATTACAGCTATGCCCAGGTTTATACCCGGACAGGTTTGTACAGAGTAAATTCTTCCTGCACAGGTCCAATCCAACCTAATCAGTCCTTAACCATTCAAGCACCTTCGGCAAATCAGGAAGAATGCTAAGTGAGCGGAAATCCTAAGGGAGAACTGAGGTTACGTGATGATCATATGTGATCTTCTATGGGAGCAGTTGGAGAATAGACTGCCACACTGAAATAACGAAAAAAGTGCTTCAAGGATTAGAAAGAGGGCTGGAGAAGTTTAGTATCTCTAATGGAGATTAATTTGAAGCAGCCAATAAATACCTTTCGGAAGAAATGAAAACTCACACCTTTTCTTTGAAAACATCTCGTATTTATCTGCTCGACACCAGCGATTTCTGTTAAGAAAAACGGAAGTTTCTTATCATGTGTATGTATGTTTGAGACGGTGCATGTCCTAAATAAAATTCATTTTAGCTTTTGCACTTATTGTCTTAATAATAATAATAATATATCTGTATATGTATATATATATATTAAAATTTTTGTTTATTACTAAATTCATCTTTTCATATCCTTGCTAAATTGTCTTTATATAAATAGAAAAAAAATGTAAACTTTTAAACTAATCATCTAATTTCTTCAACAAATGCTGCTCCGTCTGCTCAGTCTCTTATTCTCGAACTAAATACTTTATGATAATAATAAGCATAATATACCTCTTGTTATAATAAATAAAAAATCGCCTGAAAGGGCTAAAACAATAAATATGAATATTAAATTAGCTTTTTCTTATTGCAAGTGCCCCATTTTTGCACAATGCGTATTTAGAGAAGTCCTTAAGGAAAAATGTTCACCACAAGTTCTACATGAGAACGGTGTCTGACCAGTATGAATTTGCATATGCGTTTTAAGCACAGATGAATACTTAAAAGTTTTTTCGCATTCAGTGCACTTGTAAGGGCGTAATTCCGAGTGGACACGCATGTGCGTGCGCAATTTATCTTTGCGTTTAAAAGATTTACCACACTCTGAACAAATATGAGGCTTTTCATCGCTATGTGTAACCAAATGATATCTTAAACATTCTGAGCGTTTAAAGGTCTTTTCACAGAATTCACATTTAAATGGGCTATCACCGGTATGAATTCGTATATGCTTGCTCAAAGTTCCATTTTCCGCAAATGATTGACCACAGAAAGCACATAAGTAAACCTGATTTGCTTTTTTTTTGCATTCCTGTTCTGATTTTGGCTTCTTTTCCACATTCTCGCCATTAATATGTACTTTTTTGACATGCTTTTGCAAATCATCTTTTCGACTATAACGTTTGGGACATAAAGTGCAACAAAACCTTCCTTTGGCTTTGCGAGGTTTGAAATATTTATCAACCATTTCTGGACCGTGTATGGTTCCTAAATGAACTTTTATTGCTGACGTGCGGCTGGTCCTAAAACTACATAACGCGCAAGGAATCTTTTGTTCCTCTGGCATATGAGTATATGTTTTGTGTTTTTTCAGAGCAACTGCATTATCGTAGACTTTATCGCAGATGTCACAACGTACAGCCAAAAATGTTTGAGGTATTGTAAAGTCTTCTTTGGTTTCATCTTCCGTCGCTAATAATGCATCGTTAGTATCGTTGCATACGTTTATTAGGCGGTAATCACTGTAATTAATATGTAAATCAGTTACTCGAATTTAAATTGTCCTCGCAAATCTACCTGTTCTCCGTTTTACTGTCGGAATCGGGGTTTAAACTGCACTTTAATGATACGTAAGTTTGTTCTTTTTTACATTTTTCCTCCGTTATATGTGGCTCTGTTTTAATATGCACTTTTACTAGTTCTAACAAACCGTGCGCTTCTTCATTTTCTTCAGGATTTGTCTTAATTTGCACTTTGTTTATGGGAGGCAAATCTATAGGGATTTCCTTTAAACAGTTGCGAGTTGTATTGCCACCTAAATGCTGCATAAATTCCTCATGCCGCTTCTGTGCTCCAAGGATAAATGCGTATATTTTTTTTAGTAAACAAGCACACTTTATGCAGATTTTTTGCGGTAAATGGTCTTCGATACTTGTATACTAACCAAATAATCATTGATTTGAAAATGTATGTATTTACGTATTTGAGACTTACGTCCACTTGCAATAAGTCGCTTAATAAATCACCGTAAGTTTTTGAGTGAATATCTATTTCGCTAATCATTTGTTGCAATGAGTGGTAGTTTGAGGCGCGCTTTATGCATGTACGACATCTTATTTCCTTAGTGTCAACGATGCCGCAATTGTCAGAGGTTACATCCATTTCTACAAAACGAGCAAACTCTATTATAATTTCTTTGGCGGTGCAGAATAAATGAATATCAACTGTTTATTAAAAGTGCAAAGAGATTCGTGTCTGCTTCTTTTTGTTCGGCGAGAGAAAAATACGATAAGTTAATAGCACCACAGAGAACTAAATAACCAGAGTAGTTACGATGTTTGTCATAATAAGGAGTCGTACCAGAGATAACTAAATGATAAGATGTGCGAACATTTTGTTCAAAATTATAAGTTGTAAAATCTCAGTGATTAATGACGTTCTTGTTATTAATCAAAATAGGAGCGCTGTTCATTAGCAGCAGCTTAATTGCCTATTCTTTGATTATCATTATTTGGCAAAATTTCTATTAATGGTTTTTTGAGATAATGTTAGGCTGTCTTAAACGTTTGGAAAGTGTTCTTAAGTGAATATGCGCTATGGTATATGTATAAAAAAAAAAAATGAAAAGTTAGGCAGTTTGCCTTTCAATTTTTATTTCATTGATATGGAATTCTAAATATTATGTTCACCACACGCCTCAATTAATTTCAGAAAAAATATTCCTTAAAATTTTTTAATGAAAAAGTTCTTTATAACGTCAAACAGAATCATTGGATGTACAAGTATTCATGAAAAATATTTATTGAGTCAATTAATTGATGGTTGGACGCGTTGATGGTAAACTTGAAAATTTCTCTTTGGATTGTTCCCTACTTAAACTTCACCTAGTTACGCTAGTTATACATTTTCACCAAAGGCTTTTGGACTAAAGAACGCGATGTCTTTTTGCTGCAGCCTGGCAGAAATATTCGCTTATCTGGTTGGCCAGAACCGTATTCCACTAGAAATCAGAAGTGGGAAATCGATCGCCTTATAATGCTGTATTTATATTTTTATTCGTTTCTCAGCGAGCGCTTTTTACTTAGAACTTATCCATGATCTATCTACGTCATTTCTAGCATCTCTAAAACACCATGTCTCTACGAAGGCCAAGCTAAGAATAATGTGGTCAAACGAATTTTGTGAGTGCTAGTACAATTAAAATATTTTGTTTTGGATTAGAGCTAATTCTACTTGGACACCGGCATTGCCTTGACGATGAAATTGAATGGATGTTGATTCCCCCAAGATTTCCCTATTTTGGTGCTATACGGGAGCCAGTAGTGAAGGTTGCAATCGTTTGGTGTTATTTATGACTACCGTAATAACTGTGTGTAATAAAACTAAATATGCATATTTCAGCAAATTCGACTCTTCGTTTGGTAATACAAAAAAAGTGAACACCTCCCACTCTTTTCGCCGTCATCATGTTGGAAAGGTATATTAGATGTTTTGATTCCACAGAGTCAATTACACACATACATCTGCCCAATTTAACATTTAACAGCTGCTCAATTTTGGCAGTTCTTTTTGTGACGAACGCATGGATAAAACAATATAGTAGTGTTATATATTGTTACGTAGCAGAAGTGGCACAGTGTATTTTGCTTCTCATAAAGTCAGGTGATGAGGCGGAACGTGTGCCTAAGATTGGCCCCATGAAAGCGAACACAATGGCTTTAGAACTTAATTCCCATAAAGACCATCATGTGCAGGATATTTGCCTCATTTTTTTTAAGATGCCCTCGTTTTTCGAAAACAGCGTCGATCTAGAGAAATAGATGTAGGGAGGTGAACGTTTTGTGTATACCGATGAATGGCACGTAAGAACATCTTCGACTTTTGTACCCAAGTATCTTGTCACACTTAGGCAATTCGTCACTTCAAGATATATGAGCTTTGTTTCTGAAGGCTTATATGTCGTACTAATTATAATCCATATATACCTCTTTCGTGTCTTAGGTGTAATTATAAATGAGAATTATAACGTCTTGGACATATTCCTTCGTCTTATAACGTAAAAGAAGAAATATATTGGATCGATAGTCCAAACTTTGGGGCGATACTGTTTACTTTGGCTTTACCTTTGTTGCTTGATTTTCCGAAAGATGTTCTTTGATATTGTTACGGAAATCCCAAATCCTGTTCTTTCCAGCTAAGAAATAATGCCGGCCGAGGAAAACGAGTACCAGAAAAGCAGGTTAACGAATTAAAAGTGAAACTATTAAACTAGGTAGTAGTAATATGATGATAAAAATGTATATTAATAGAATATTTGTGGAAGGTAGGGTTAGTAGAAAAAGAATATGTGAGTTAAGCAGTCGAAGGTAGTGAATAATCCTACTGTTAAAGAATGTAATTGTAAATAAAAGAATAATGATATATATTTCTCTTGAAAAGAATGTCCACGACTAGTGGTACGAGTCCTATATCTTAGAAAAGCGATTTCCGTAACAATATATTAAATTTATTACAATTGCCACAAATTTCAGATGCACTTAACAATACATTTGATCAAGTGCAACGTATCTACAGTATACTTTAAATATTTTTACTTTAGTTAAATAAATTTTTTATGGGTATATTTTTCAAGGAAAAGAGTGTTCATGGAAAAGCTCTGCATTTGTCTGGTGAAACTGTCGCTGCGTTAGCATTAAAAGCTTTCACTTATCTAATGAAGTATCAAAATTGTATAATTTAATTAAAATCAGCGGCGAAACTTTGTTGATTCTAGGCTGAACTCTTCCCAATAAGGAGCACAAACAACAACAACACGTAAGTACAAGAAAATCATTTTATATTTGCCAGGCTTTAAAAACCCTCTTCCTTTTTTCAGGTAAACTATGCCAAATTTTTTTGTGGTGAAACTGGTACAACTGGAAACATCGTGAAAGAGTCGGACAATGCAATATGTACTTAAATACGTTAATAACAAGTTTTCTTAAAGATTCCGATATTGAGAGACAAGAAATCATCTTAGAGGTTGTGCAACGAGAAATATACTTGATAAAAGAGGGTAGTTGCTGCCTAGAAACATATCCGAATACAACAAGGTAAATTCTAAATTATTATTTTGTTATATTTCACATATGTTTAGCTTGTATAGTTTTAGGATAAATTTCCCATTGTTAATTCGCGGCCTCTGCGATGTTTTCATTGCTTTAATGAACCTGTGGGTGATGCAGAATATAATCAATTCAATTTATGTACTTCCAGTTCTAAGCTTTTGAATGCGCTTCTAGAAATAGTAGAAAAATCGGATGTTCCAAAAAATTTCCTAAATTTTCTAAAGGTAATTATAAATATCAATATTAAACAATAAGAAAGTTATATTCGGCGATGGCCGAATCTCGCATACTCGCCACTATACTTTTATTTGGTACCCATATCGCTAGTATTATTAAGAAAGAATTACTCGTGTCGCCTTAAAATTAACCCATTTTTAGGCAAATAATATATCTTCAGTTGAGGAATGTACGGAATAGTTATAAACCTTCTTTCTTGTTTGCCTTCTGATAAATAATCACAAAACCTCAAAAAAGTGAAAAAGCAATATTTAATCATTTGTAACTTTGTGTTAATATGGCCAATTGCATTTTCGGTTCTAAAGAGTAGACTGTTTTGGAAAGTAAATGTGGAAAATTTCAGGGTTCTAACTTTAGTAATATCCGAGTAACGCGCAACAATCTAAAATATTTTGTTAAAAAAAACTGCTTTGCGTTCAGTTTACACCCCATTGCGCACTTCTGCTCTGACCAATTTGACCCATTTGCAATACCAGCCTGCGTGCAGAAACTTCCAATGTTTCTACCAAATTTGAAGGCGATATCTCTACTTTTGCGACCAGGAGAGTGCCAACACCACACGCCACTCAAACGGACATAACTAAATCAACGCAGAATTTCACTCTGATCAAGAATA